ATTTTAAGATTTCTAGGTTTTCCTGTTTTACATATCACTGTTGTGTTCTAGCATTTTATGTTGCATATAACATATGATAATTATCTGCATATTTATTGCTTAATTTTCATTAATTTTTGCTGTATATAATAAATTCCTGTCTAAAGTCTCGGTTGTATTAAGTGTATTAGACAAAGACTATTTTGTTACGATACGCTTGATAAAATTAGACATGCAAAATATGCAGCGATCAGTAATGTTTTATTGGTGTATGCATCTGTAAATTTGATTGAAAATGTAAAAACGTAAAAAAATGTTTGTTAATTTACACAAATCATGAATTGGACCTGTGTGCTCGCATTTGGAACGTTTTGGATATTAAGGTTGTTTTGGATTTCCGGGTTGTATTTGTTTTTCATGTAGTTATGTAAGGGTTACTATTTTCTTTGTTTTGAATTTGATATTTCATAACATTAAAAATGTACTATATTGGTACTAATAAGTTATTTCTGGGTTGTTTTTCTTTTTCATGTAGTTATGAAAGGTTTACTATTTTCATTGTTTTTTTGAATTTGATATTTCATAACATTTGTAAGGTACTAATAAGTTTTCACAAGGTACTCCAAGAATAATGTCTAACGTCAGACCATTGTTTATAAGCGTACATGACAGTTTCTTGTTATGACATTTATACCAACAATAGTCAAGAGCTGCAGGTTTTAAAAAATTTGTTTTCTTTTACTTAACGCTAAAGGCCTGATGTAAGAGGAAGTATTGATCTGACTTGATGGCTGCAGGCTTCAGCAATTTCTCTTCTGATTTCTTGGGAATATTTAGTGCCTTAAATATTATCTCAGAATCAGGATTGAATGTGGATGTAAAAATACTGTTATTGTGAACAAAATGTCATATAATATCATAATTATATTAGGTTTGTTTTCTCTCTCTGTATAGGCTCTTGGAATACTTATAGACACTGTGTTTTTTAAGATAGATGTTTTTTTACTGACAAGAAGTGTTTCACTATATTGAAGGAGATATAAGTTTGTTTGATACGGAACACTGAGAGGAATGTGATTTAATCAGATTAGTTTGATTTGTACGGAATTTCTCCTACATGTTGAAACATCCCTCACTGTGACTATGATGCTAGAGGAGGTAGGAAATGTGAAACATTTTTAAATCCATTGATAAAGGTGTCCATTATACAGTCATTGTGTGAGCATATCACTCACTGATAGTTTACGCTAGCAACCTGATAATTAACTTAGATCTGGAATTAAGGAAAAGTAGTTCTGGATTAGTGAACATTACAAAGTGGTGGAGGGAGGAAATGTTAGTAATTTTGAAGTAGAGAATTAGGAAAATTGGAAAAGGAGGAAGTTGTAACAACATTTTACTGCAGGATAAATTTTTGATGTGATTAATCAAGTGCTAGTAATGTGTAATAATCTGCCAGGAATTATAAACACAGATTAATAGTTTAAGCCAGATTATTTACATGGCTTTGAAGATTTAATTAGAGACATTATTATAGTTGTCTCGAAAGTGATTATTGGAGTAAACTAAATTTAATAAATGGTAAAATACGACATTGATTAAATTTTAATGAAAAAGACAACATGCTGGATTGTTTAAATACAAAAGAAAGTATCTGGATTATGAAGATATGTTGATATATTTGGTCGGTCAAGACAAGAAAACTGAGGAAGAGGCAGGCGGGGCCACGGCCCTTTCTCATCCTCCATCTGGACCCCCTCAAGATGGGGGCACCCCAGAGGAGGAGAGCAACCCACTGGGTCTTGAACTTGACCCATACTGGACTCAGGATGTACAGGAACAGAGAATCTGTACATTTTCAAGGTGATTCTAATGTATTTTTTGTTCTTTTTGTTGACTTTCTGTTGCAATATTTGTAAGATATCTGTTGAGTTTGTTTAATTTTGAAATTTGAAATATTTACAAATTAAACAAAATTTTCATATTAATATTCCATAATAGATATAAAACTTAAAATAGAATTGCAGCTATTCTTCAGACGTCATTTATCAAATTTATTTATAAAATATATTGAATTTATGCAAATTTAACTAAATTACCTGCTTTAGAAAATAATATTCAACAATTTTTGGCATGCTGATAATAATTAGTATCTTTGTGATTTTCCATTTCTCTTACTGGTAAAGTAACTATCAATAAATATAGTTTATACATGTATATTCATAGAGAAACTATCTGTAATTAAGTAAATTAAATTAATTAATTAATTAACTGGTTAACAGAAATGGTTAAGTCGTAAAACATTACTCAAATTGAACCCTAAATGTTTTCTTAAACTTCATTATTTCTTCAGCAAATATATGATTAATATGATGATATGATGATAGGACTATTGATTAGTGTAGCTTAGATAAATATAATAATAGTTGTACAAACTTGTGAACAACAAAGTTATGTGATAGCTGTACACTCATGCCATCATTGCTATGAAACATTCACCATACTTTTCTAGACATTACTGTATTCCCAGGCTTCTAAGGCTTGACATTTCTCAGTTCTTAGTGATTTTATCCTTCCTTTAAACATGTCACACATTCAATGGTTTCTAGGACATAATTTTCTTGAAGACTTTTTTGCTTAGTAGTTCAAGATCAAATCACTTACACTGAAAACAGTTTGTTGAAATAACACAAGGGTATTTTGAACATTTACATTATATTAGTATCTAGATAGTTTATGGAATGTCAAGTTTATGGAATGTCAGTGATTCTACCTAATGGTGCCTGCTATAATATGCTGGACATAATGCATGGAAGGACTCTTGGAAACTGGGTTGTGTGGGGGTTGCGTTCATTGAATGGCGCACTTCTTGATCTTGTTTTTCATATTTCCAAGCCAGAATTTGAAATTCTGGATTGTAGCCATACAACCTTAACCTTGTTGATGTGACTTAACTTACCTTCATGCTACACAGGTTCTGCCGGCAGGAAACGGCAGATATGGCCGAAAGATGTGGCAGTTGTGTAAAAAACTTGGAACAGTGTGCAGCCATGTGCCCATTAATCCATTACTGGAGTGTTAGATATGGTGTTTTATTGTAAAAAAACATGCCCTTTGAGAAACAGAAGGTTTAGTTCTGTTATACATCAGAATATTGAGATAACCTGCTGTTTTTATTGCTATCTATACATGTTATTGTGACAGAATGCAGCTTCTAAGGGCATGTTCTTTTATCTTATTCTTATGCAGATGTTTAGACAGCTACATTAAATGTTCCCATTTTCCAGCTAACCCAATCATGAAATATTAAACTTTCTCTATTATAACATAGTTTCTATATATATTATTCATCACTATCTTTTGAAAAATCTGATCAGGCAGAAATGAAACACTTAAGTCATATCCTTCTACAACTGCCAGAGACCCCCATCTCCATGTGAGGTCACTCATTCCAAATGGCAACTAGATGTTGTGTGATATAAATCACGCTTTTTAAAGCACATGCTTTCAGGATGTTACGTCATGTGCATGGTGTCAATGAAATGTATGTGCTGCAAACTTTAAAAGGTATCGAAGTAACAGTTGTGACTTAGTATAGACCTCGATTGGCTTTAATATTTTATGCCGTAAAATAAGTCTTTTCAATGTTGTTTGAATTCACACAGAAGCATGTTTTAAATGGACACTGTTATATAATTATCCAAAGTTGGTCCTTGATCTTGATCATTGTGACATTCCCGTATTTTGCCATGTATATGTTTCAATGTTCGGCCATATCCAAATTTTGGAATTCAATATGGAATTTGCAAAAAATTCCTTTAGGATATCTAGTACAATAATACCTCTATCAGCTGTTGACATTAAAATGTCATTCTGCAACATTATGTCATTCAATCATCACTTTGCAAAATATACCACCTAGATAAATTTTAAGAATTGATAGTATATTTTCAAACTAGCAAATATAGCTTGCAAATAGTCACAGAAATTATGAGACATGTTTTTGTCAACACTGACACATAAGAAGATATTATAAAGTTTTCATATTGATATATAGAACATTATATGGCTGTATTCAGATTGTTGATGTGTTTATGATCTATCATGCCATAATACATCTGTACTTAATCTGTATATATACCAGATATATATTAAAAATCAATATGAAATAACTACAGGATGTATTTTACTGGATCAGGATTGTCTCGGAAAGCTTCTTTCAACTGCAGTATGTGTGAAATTGTCTGTCTGTAGTGGCTACATGAAAGTTCGGGATATCAAAGTTAAAAGATCATGACAATTTTATTTAGATAATTTAGATAATATAAGAGTTATGAAATACATCTCTATTAAATAAATCTTCTATAAGTCATCTCAACAGGAATCAGACATCTAAAGTAAAAATCTTGGATATTAAAAAGCTAGAGAAGTACAATGTAGATAAAGGCAATGTCTATATAGTCAACATTTACAAGTACTGTATAGCAGCTGCCTACTTCTTGTATGCCAAGTTTTCTAATATTCTTTTCCTGACTTATGAACCTTGTGGCTAATTATCAAGAATTAGTGCACTATCCTTTCCTATTTGGCACATTTGCTTGAGAAATTTGCCCAAATTTTCCTCATATAGTGCTTAATGTGGCACTAAATAAAGCTTTTTTGCCATTTAGATGTCCAATTTTCACAGACAAAGTGGCTCAAAAGACTTTAAAAACCAGTGTTATCCTTAAACTGGCACATTTACTCTTTGAGTCTTTAGCAGTAAACCATCAAAACTATTGTTGGTTTTTTCCACCCAGAAACAGGTTATTACATCAGCAGACCAGTACTGCGTAGATAATACTAGACCTTGTAGATAATACTAGATCTGAGACTGATCTACAGGTGATAGGGAAATCTGTAACAGATAAAAAAACTTGATATAACTATTGTTGTAAAGCTTTAAGGCCTGAGCCAATTATAGGCAGATATTCTTTTCTTTATAAGTGATATAATTTTTTTCAAAACTTTATATATTTCAGTTTTGGGAAAAGAACACCAGGATGTGCGAGACGTGCCAGCGAATGTTTGATACTCGAACCTTCAGAAATGATTGTGGTAAGTGAACCGATTTCTGTAATCTTTAACCACATTTAGGTTTCAACTCTGTCAAATTTCTGTGTTTGTCAGAATGAGCAGTGCATATGGAAAGCATTATTTAAACCACTCCCATGTACTAGCATGGAAACAAAAACCACCAAGAACAAGTACGCATGTTGACAACTGTGCTAATAGGTGGTGCAATATAAACAGATATTACTAGTATAATTGCATTAAGATTATTAGAGATTGTTAGTGTTTAGCACCATAATGCCGCAAGCTGAAACAACACTTGCAAACTCCAATCCTATATACTGTACTGGTTGGAGACCATCAACCGGACACTTTTGGAACATTTTTCTGTAAAGATCTCATATTTTTTAACCTAGAGACCAAAAAAATTTGACACAGTTCAGCTAGGTTCTTCTCCTAACTAACAAACTAGTTTGTTTATTTCTGATTGTATTGACATTTATATCTGAGGTTAGACAAGGAGGGTATCAAAATTACCTAAATTGTCTACACTACAGTACCATGTGTCCGGACAGATATGTACATGTGAGATTTAATTCAGATAAAAGCTTGGGTGTTTTGATTTTTGATTTGTAACATGATATACAATATGTCAACAGCAAATGCTGAAGTTTTGTATATTCTATTATTTACTCAGCAAATGATTAAAGCTGGTATATGAGATCAGGCATTGCTTTCTTGACCCCCGAATTTCAACGTCAACATTCTTGAAATAGACATTATAATATTACCATTTACGGAGGTTGAAATAAATTTATTTATTTAATTTTAAAAGAAACATGGACTTATTGTTTATAAAAAAGTGACTGACAACCACCGAACAAAGAAAATACCAAATTAAGCATTTTCGGGGCCGTCCGGGTTTGGTGGTTGTCCGGTTTTGGTGGTCCACAACCAGTAGTAGTTCTATGTAATACAAATCAACAAATGTTTTCCAAGTGCAGTGAATCAGAATTTATTTACGTAAAACCTAACTTATGTCATGTCATAGATGTTTGTTGTTGTTTGTAGATTTCATATAATAATGAAATTGAACAATTCGATCAAATTTTAGGTTCATTCAAAAACACAAAGATATCATAAAAAAGCTTTTAAGATAATGCTATTCCTGTAACATTAAAGTCTGTGGGTATTTATGTAAGAAGTAGGTACAGGTTGTAACAGTTTTGATAGTAATAGGGGGGAAAGTATCATTTTTATCTCCAGCTTGTGTATTTAATCCAATCAGATATTGTAATAAGGTAATTAGCTTGTCTAGGAATTGTTTCTCTCATATCTAATTGTAAGCCAATTGCTTAATTTGTGATCCTATCTGGTTATGTTTGTATTTGTGTGTAGTGATCTGTTTGTTCTGGAATATAATATGTCTTCATGGAGGAAATAATGTGTAACTTGCCACTTTGCTACAATATTGTTCCAATTAACTAATTTATTTGGACTGGGTTTGGTTTTCCTTTGATACCAGCTAGTTCTAGTTATATTAATCAGGTATTAGTATTCAGTTGAATTTTTGCATGACCCTGATAACAGTGTTTCCTTATATCTCGTAAACCATTCTCTTTGGATTCAAATCTTGTACATTGTGGCAGCATAGCTGATTGGTTGAAGTGTCAGATTAGTAATCTTAGGATTGCTGGCCTATTTGGTTCAAATCCCCTCTTGGGCAAGTCGTTGTTTCATTGAGCATGAATCTTTACAATGATTGCTGTACTTTTTGGTTCCAGGAACATATTTTAGAGCTTTCTGCATAATCAAAGTAAAAAACTGAATCTCGACATGATAACAGAATATGATTACAAAACTTGCATTTGAAGTGTGTCCTGACATACAATCTCATAGTACCTTCAAAATTTATTGACTGTTTTTTTAGTTTCACAAACCTCTACAGTTGGGAGGAACTTACAATCTACTGTGTCTGAGTTTAATAAAGATTTAAGTTGCATTAGATCTTACACAAATTACTGATCAAGATGATGGAAGAGATATAGATGATATATGTGCAACTATGGTGCTTATAAAGAAATGCCTTCTGTTAGCTTATTTTCTGGAGTATTTGGAGTATTTGGGAACTTAGCATTGCTGCTTTACACAAATGTTTTTAATGAAATGACCCTTTTTGAGGTTAGAGTTTTATCACCACATTCTATAAATATTGAATCTATGAGGCTATTAGTTGAGACATTTATTGCTTTGTAGTCAGTAGTAAAAATGTCTGTACTTGGTGGCATAGACAGTGACCAGAAAAAATCAACCCTCTAAAACAGCAGCTGAAATATGAGAGATAGTTCTCGCATTGAGTGAGATTGATTATTTTTCATCAGTCTTAATCAGTTCTTCTCACTTCCAAGAAAACTCTGCCCGGAATTCAAAATGGGATTTCTTATTTCTTCAGGAGTTTTAAATTAATCATTATCCTTATTGACCAATTGCCAGCCAACATTATCTTTTTATTTCTTGGAATTTTTTATTAGTCATTAAGAGCTACTGTTTAAACACTTTAAAGGGTTCATGTTCAGTTTTTCAAAATGCATTTTACATGTTTCATTGATCTGTCCTTGAATTATTTCTGATGTAATAGTTACATTCTTTTTTTAGGGAGGAGGGGTTGCTGTTGGTTACATTCTACTTTTTTGGAAGGAGGGAGGGAGCGGGGGACATCAACTACAAAAAACCCACTTTATTTTTATTATAATTTGAAATTTTCTGTAACAATATACTAACAGTTTTCTTTCCAACATGCATCTTTTTATTCTTTGCTAATAGTTTGCATCAGGTTCATTATCTACCTTCTTCATGGTATTTGTTTTGTTATAAATGTTGCCAAAATTCTACAGAAAAAAGGAGAAATATTTCCACAGACATTTAATTCTTTTTAATGTCTAGCATTATCTTTTCTATTACTCTATTACCTTTTGGAATGTCTTAAAACTGGTTATGTTGTTTTGTAACAATGTTATAGACTGCTGTAGACTTCAGAGTGAAGGTAATTTCTCAGAGATATGTGTAAAAAGCCCTCCTGTAGCTGATATCAGCTTACCCTAATTTTATGAAGATTTCATGGGCTCCAACTTGGCACAAAACCTCTAATATTTTGTTTCTATGTCCTTATCATTTATTACATACACTGCAATACTTTGATGCAGAAATGATTTTTTATTGCTTTTTATCATGGAATTTATTCTATTTTACAAATTACTGTTCGCGTTGTTTTTGTGTGTCAGAGAAAATTCGAGTGTGAAGTACAGAAAAATGGTTAACGTTTTTAGAAGGTTTAAAAGCTGTAGGGGTTAAGTAATTTTCTTGGTGCTTTGACTTTAGATAATCATTGATGTACTTAAAAATCATGTTTAGAATAAAGGAACAGAACCCTTTTGTAAGTTTTATGCCAATCCTTTTATTTCCTTGAAGTTGAGAATGATAAGAAGTTCAGTTTATGCAATTCAGATGAAATTTTAGCATCAGAAAAAATGGCATCATTGTTAAAGTTTCACGATAGTTCATGAGCACATCATCATAACATGATAGTTCATGAGCACATCATCTATGATATGTAGCTTTATGTATAAGTCTTAATCAGTGATGTATTGCAGTTTGATTTTGAAATTGAAACTTATTTGTTAGATCTTATCAAACACATTTAATAAATAATATACAATACTTTCAATAGGAAGAAAAATAGTGATTGTAGTGATGATAACATAGTTGTTGATGATGCTGATGATAAATACAGTGTTTTGGTTTCTTTAAAATGTCTACATTGTATGACTCACTCATATTATATAGGTCACCTATAGCTCTGTTTCTGTTATGACAGTTGGCTTATCAGTTATGTATAAGATATGACAGATATAGGGGTACTTACAGCTAGCTTGGTGTAATTCAGATGATATTTGTTCTGCCAGCTTTCAGCTGTTATGACATTGGGTAAAGTGAGCTTGACTCACCAGCAGGTTAATATCTCAGATACTGATAAGGCAAATAATATAACTGATGGAATGAAGACTGACAGGAGAGAGAGAAAGTTAATAGATTATTACTCTGTTGTGGCCATTTTTCTGAAATGTTTTATTGGGTCAAATGCTATCAACTAATATAACAAGGATGAGAATTATTTAAATTTATCAGCCAATATTTAGGGTTTCAATTGAATAATGTGCAAAAATACTTTTTTTCTGTACTGATAGTCTCAAAGAGTACCTTTTGTTATGTTGATGCTATAGAAGATGAATCTCATTACAGTATTTTAAATTATAATATTTTTGTTTTTTTATTCAGTAGATGTTTTATTTGGGTTTAAAATTTAACACAGTAAATTTGTTGAAATTAAGAAATAGGTCAGAGCCTACCATAGCATACACTACAGTATAATATAATCTTAACACTTCATATTAATAATAATAAGACCAAATTGTCAAGGGTTTACTCATATATTTTCACCGGAAAAGTTACACTGATTAAGTATGTAGCATAATTATTTATGGGTTTAAATGCTGTACTGAATTAAAATTAATTATTCATAAGCTCTTTTCATATGAATACCATTTTATTGAAGTTTGACTGACATACATAAAATTCTCTTTCATAGATAATTTTCAAGAAATTGTGATAAGCACCACTGCAAATTTCACTTGAACTTAAAATATAAAAAAATCTTCAAGAGTTATGAGAAACAACCATGTAACATGGTAACAGAATGCTGAAGAAATGAAATGACTCTAAGATTCTTTGAAATATCCCACATTTTGTAAGGAAACAAAGTTAGAAGAGTGTCTTGTTATTGTTTCTTTTTGCTAATACACTTAGATGAGAAACATTGAATAAATATTAACCGGACATATAGATGATTGTAGATTTCCTGTGCATCATTATCAACCAATCAGTAGCCATTTTATAACTGACAAACAGTGACTATATTCATTTGAATTCATAATCTCCTTTTATGAAGATTTATTTATTAACACAATGTAAACTAATACAGATATAAG